ACATAAGTTTTTTCCGGTACTCGGAGACGTTTTCCCGATAAATATTGGCACGGCCGGTGTATACTGCATCACCAGTGCTGTCGTCTTTACCAGTTTGCAACATATCATTGATATGCAATAGAAACAGGGTTGGTGATAGCACGCAGCCTTGTGGAACAGCAGTATTAATAGGCTTGTAATCAGAGCATGCACCGTCTACTACGACCTTGATGCTCCGATCAGCAAGGAAACTGGTGATCCAATTGCACAATTTTTCGGGAAGTTTATAGAAAGGGAGTTTTGAAAGAAGCGCTTTGTGCCAGACACGACTGAAGTCCTTCGCTATGACCAAACTAACGGCCAATGCCTACTCCTTGGACTCTACTGCTTCCGCCCGTCTATGAGTAAGATAGACCAGAAGATCACCAGCTGATCCACCCCGACGAAAATTGTTTATAATAAATTCCATTATTCTGGAGAACAAGGAGGTGATGGCGATATGGCTGTGGTTTGACGGGTCTGAGCGGTCGCCTTTTTTAGGGATCGGGTGAACCAAAGCTGTCTTCCATGAATTTGGTACAACGCCTTAGGAGTAGAAGTACCGGAAAATATGCGTTAAAACCGGTGCCAACTTCGGAGCACACGTCTTCAGCACAATGGTTGGGACTCCATCAGGCCCACTCGAATTTGTTGACGACCAGGGAGATGAATGCTTTGCGAACCGAGTGTTGTGTAAACCGCACATCTGGCATGGAGCACGCAAACCGCTGGTCGATGGTGTATTCTCCCGTCATCGAGAGTCGAGTTGGACGCAAAAAGAGAGATTAACATATCGGCTTTCTCCTTTGAGGCATGGACTCAGTGAGTCGTCCTCTCTTTGCAGAGGTGGCTGACAGAAGGTCCCTTGGACAGCCTTGGCAAGAGACCAGAATGCATGGGTTACCGAAGAAGGCGAACTAGCCTTCTTAGTAGTTTTTATTTGATTCCGCTACCATGCTTAAGGGGGGGGGGGGGGGGGGGGGAATCCGTGCGACAGCAAGCAGCCGCGCGGCTCTGTAACTGTTATAATGTAAACATGGAATAAGTTCTATTTACTTTTTTTCTGCCCACCATAAATAAACGAATGATACACAAGAATACATTATTTTCTTCGTTATAAGACTAGTCCAGTCTTAACGAATAAACCAAACACAATAACTGCCTTTCTTTCTTAAAAACTTCTCTAATACTTTAATGTTTTTCCTAAATGCCAAACTCGCACTAGACACCCTGATCGCGACTGAAAAAACGTATCGCTTAAAGGCAGATAATTGATGATAAGTATACCCGCATGCGGCGATGCCGCATAAACACCTCACAACGTGAATCTACCTGTCCTATTGATAACTGCCTTTACGTTTTACGGAATTAACCGGTTAATTTGGGTGTCAAAAACATTAAGTAACCGATAGCCTTTATCGTTTAGGTTTAATAAAAACCGGTTAATTTTTACCGGTAATTGAAGGAGCGATAAATTAACAGGTAATTAATCGAAATTAACCGCTCTTTTTAAACCGGTTCCGAGCCCTGGTTCTAGGTAATTCAACAGTACAACACTATATTACAAGATAAAAAGGAAAATTTAATTGTTTAAATAAAATAAGATACTTGTATTATCACAATCTTCTTTAGTACATGGGCATAATTTGTAACTACTGAGCTTGTACTCAATAAACGCTGACATTGGCGAATAATCAAAAACCGCCATAAAAAAAGAAAGAAGAAGCAAAAGAACTCAAATATTGTTTTAAATTGTAAAAACAAATAATTGTCAATTTGGTTATTAATCATTGTTATTAAATTACCTTAGTAATCAATAAAAAGATATTGTTTGGTTTTGGTGAAATATTGACCAATCAAATCGTCGACCAATCAGAGCGCTTCTAGGTTCTTACTATGGCTTCCTTAATAAATGAACGCGAGAAATACGGTCACTTAAGTTTCTGCGCTCGTCGTTGTAGGTTCCATTTTCCTTATAAAAACTTTGTGACAATTTTAGTGAGTTTATAATAAGAAGTGTGGAATAAAATTATAAAGTATTTGATTAGACCTTTTGGTTATAATGGAGCCAATACGTGGCAGCACAACTGAGCCCTTGTCAATTGGGGACAGTGGTGCTGCTTCACCAAAAAACAACCCCGAGACTTCCGCCCCGACATATATATGTATGTATATATGTATAATAGGTATTAAAAGTTGACGGACACAGGTGGCTCTGGACCATTTTTGTAGTCCTTTTTATTGGAAAGTCTGTATTCAATAATGAATTTATAATGCGCCGTAATGACGGTGTATCTCTGTAACTCTTTCATGTAATTGCCTAACATGTAATGACAAGTCTTCTCCGCACTATTTGTTTTTCTTTGTATAAAATTGAAGTGATGACATCTACATCTATTCTCGATTAAGAATCAAAATGCAGATTTTCTAGTAAAAAGGGTCTCCGGTTCTCTACACTCACCATACAAAACATAGCAGCATTGAGCTGCTATTTTACGTTGGTATTCTGTGAGAGTGTTGTCCTTCCCCGGTCAAGTCGACCCATTTGTGCTACAGCCATAATGTAGCTACAGCAAGTCTCTACCACGTTCAATAGTAGTTTTATAAAGTATGTGACTTTTAAAATACTAATCATATTATAATTCAATTGCATTATTATCAACAACAAACAACGAATATTACGGACAAAAATGTAAAGTAAGCCGATAAAACTGTTCACTTGAGAGTCGTTAAACTTTATGAGCCACTTCTCTCTCGCACGGCTGATTGCGTGTTGGAGAACATGAGGAATAAAATTCTTCGTAGATTATGTTTACCTTTTTAATTTCTTTCCTTGTAGATTTGGCTACAACTCGTGTTAACTTACGAGTAGGTGTACAGTTCATGTTAATGATGATTCTGTAACCCAAACAGCTAAATAAGTTTAGAAGTTGCGAAGTCTTTGTTATTAATAATGCTTGTTTATCTATTAATTAGTAACTCCGGAGGGGATTACGGTCACGGCGGCCAGTCCAGGTCAGAGGTTAGCCATTAGCGCAGGTCAAATTTGTAGTGCACGAATGTGTGCGCAAACACAGATGCACACACACACACACACACACACGCACACACACAAACACGCGAGGGCGCGCGCGCACCCATGCACGCAAGCACGCAAGCAAGCACGCACGCACGCACGCACGCACGCAAGCACGCAAGCACGCACGCACGCACGTACGCCCGCACGCACGCACGCACGCACGCAAGCACGCACTCACGCACGCACGCACGCACGCACGCACGCACGCCCGCATGAACGCACGCACGCACGCACGCACGCACGCACGCACGCACGCACTCACGCACGCATGCAAGAACGCACGCACGCACAAACGTACGCACGCACGAACGCTCGCACGCACACACGCACGCACGCACGCACGCACGCACTCATGTACACACGCACGCAAGCACGCACGCACGCACACACGCACACACGCACGCACGTACGCACGAACGCACGTACGCACGCACGCGCGCACGCACACACGCACGCACGCGCGCACACACACACACACACACACACACACACACACACACACACACACACACACACACACCCTCACACCCACATACACACACACACACATTGTCGTGTCGGAGATTACAACAGAGAATTCCAATTTTAATCTCGGTTATACATCAGGATAGTGTTAATTGTTAAAAATATTAAAAGTGTGAGAGCGGATGTTCAACTTGCTCTCTTGCTTACGCAAATGATCATTATCGGTAATAAGACAACGTAACGCACTAAACCTTCAGTATAGTGAAATTACAGTTCGATCACACCGTAACAAGTCTCCGCCACAATCACACACCAGTGTTACGTGAGGTACGTAATTACATAACACAAAATATGTAAACCAACAGCAACACTACTTATCTCAATGTAACACAGGGCAGCCTCTCAGCAACACTAATCGTCCTTGCCTGCACTAGAAGAATTACAACAACGAACAGAACCACGACACTATCTTAGCACTGGTAGAATGACCACACTCGTAGATTGACTTGAGCGGAATCTCCCGCGCACGGCACCTACAGTGAACTTTATACTGCACAAACAAGTGGGGGTTTCTCTTTATACCCTCCATTCCATTACGATCCAAGTGATATTTTATAGATGCTCCGACATATGTATTGCGTACAATAAAGAATTTTGTATCTATCTAGGGTAAACTTCCCTAATCTTGACACCCCGCCAATTATTGACACTTCTACAGATAAATTAAAATTATAAGATTCACGCTCAATATAGGAGCAAAGTTGTTTAAAGTGAACGCATCTCTATTTCAACTATTTTGTTATGGCAATACAGTTTGGGTTCTTTAACAAGTATAGCTGAACATAACTAGTTGATTTACCAAACGTCTCCGTGTTCATAAAAAAAGTCGCCATTTTGTTGGAAATCAGAAAGGTAAGTGCATACAATTTAGTATAGTTTTTCGTCCTTAACATTCAGATGTTTGCTGATATTTATATTTTTTGAATTGATGATAAATCGATAAACATTTCTATAACCTCACTTTTTTGTTTATTCGAAAATTGTTAAATTAAAATAGGGGTGTCAATAATTGGTAAGCAAATATACCACACTACCTATTATTAACATAGTATGTCAATATTTGGATTCATATAATTATTTATTCTGATGGGAATTTTGTATAAGAAATATTTGTTTTAACGACAGGGATCATTTTTTATATAAATTTAAAGACGTCTGGCTTACTTTTTCAATTTTTTGACACTGTGTCAATAATTTAATATCCTATTATGGACACCATGTCAATGACAGGAAATAAATATGTCAATAATAAGTTTGTTACTACAATTTAAAACGATTAATTTCAATCAATTATTTTGTCAATAACTTAAAAGATATTTAAGTGTAGGTATTAGCTCAAAAATATAAATAAAATAATTTTCATTCTGTTATTTACAGTATGGCCAAAGATAAAGCAAATCCTGGTTTAAAGAAAGGCAAAGATTCTCTAAATGAGATTAATAAAAAGAAAAAATCTCCAAAAAAACGAAAGCAATACTCTTTAGAAAATATTAAATTAGCGTTAGAAGCAATAAATAAAGGGATGTCCAAGAAATTGGCTTCAAAAACGTATGGTGTCCCTAGGACTACACTAATTTTTCACACAGACCATCCAGACAAAAATGTGAGACCAGGTCCTCCTACCGTTCTGACAGCAAAAGAGGAAGAAGATCTAGTAAATTGGATCAAACTTAATAGCAGAAAAGGCTTTCCAAGACGAAAATAAGACCTGATTACAAGTGTAGCTGAATTCTTAAAAAAGGCCAATAGACCGAATCCATTTAAGGATGGTGTTCCAGGGGAAAGATGGTATCATCTCTTTATGAAAAGACATAAGGATTTGGCTATTAGAACCCCAGAAAGTGTCACTGATGCAAGTTCTTGCGTATCTGAAGAAGATATAAGACGTTGGTTTCGTGATATATATTCTTATTTAGAAATAAATAATTATACTCACATTCTCCAAGACCCTTCGCGCATTTTAAATGGTGACGAGACAAACTTCCAACTGTGTCCTGTTTAATATTAAGTAATTTTGTTTATCTAGTGAATAATAGATGGCGCCACTATTGTTTTAAGGCACACTATGGTTGCGTTATTGTAAATCTAGTAAGTTAATGAGAAATAATTGTTATCGGTGGTATTCGTACACACTGTATACTTTTTAAGTAAGGTTTATTTATTAAACAGTGTAGTGATAAAGTTGGTGTCTTTCTTTCTCGTAATTCGAGGGATCCATAGTGCTCCTAGTGTTGTACATGGTCCTTACGATCCGGATTTAAACCGGTTTTTTGATAGATCTGGAGGGAACTTTAAACCCTCCCACACTAGTAGGGGCAGCGGATCGTTGCTCGGTGTGTCCAGCAGAGGTCGACGTGCTGACCGATGTTTGGCTGCTGTGACGTCACTAGGAGGTGAGAAGAAAGATCGACGACAGAGAAGGCTGTCAGGAACACATCTTACGAAGGCCGAGGCGAGATATATTCCCTCGGAACCACAGCACCGCGCGAAATTTGATTGCGGAGGATGTCAACGGCGATAATAAAAATTGCATAAGGAAGAAATCGTGCAGTGAATTGTGCAAGGTGGTATCATACAAAACTGTGAGTACTTTTAGTGTCTTAATAATAAATTTAAATGCCAATTTGAACTTTATTTCTATGAACTGTTTATCTTTGAAAATTTGTGTTAAATTTAACTTCTAATCTTATTTGCATATAAAGTAACATTAACTTAGTGTATAATTTCTTAAAAACGAAGGTACGAGGAACCTATGTCCGATTTTGTCAAGTATTTTATTGCAAACACTTAGAAAATTTGTTGAACAGTTTGAGACTTAAATTTTAGTTCTAACTTCTAACTTGTATTGGATAAATATTAGTTGCATTATTAAAGCACTTTATACTTTTATATAATAATTACATAAAAGTATTAGTAACTAGCTAAGAGTAATTATTACCTATAAATATTACTACTATTGTTAAGCTTTGTTAGCGTTATAATTTCTTACATATTATAAATAACAATGAGTACAGAAAGGGAAAGATTAGCAGAACGTATGGACAACTTAATATTTTGTCAGGAGGATTTAAGTTCTCGCATTAAGAAGGCAGACGTAAACTTTAAAAAGAGTCCAAAGGAACGTATTACTAAGGAATATATAGAATCACGTTTATAAATGTTAGAGCAACTTTGGCATGAATTTTTATCGGGACATAAAGAATTAATCAAAATTGTACCCTCAAAGGAATTAACAAAATCGACCTATTTTAAAAATGAAATATATGATAACACAGAAGAGGTTTATTTAGATTACAAAACGATGCTTAGAAGTAATTTATCAGCATTTGCAGATCATACCTTGGGTGCTAATCTATCAAGTACCGATATGGTTATTAGGAATAGTGTCAAATTACCTAAGTCCAATATTCCACAATTTTCTAGCAAATACTCTGAGTGGACTACGTTTAGAGATTTGTTTAGATCTTTAATTCATTCAAATTGTGATTTAGATAATGTCTAAAGGTTGCAATATTTAAAAGGGCTTCTAATTGGCGCGGCGGAACGTCTTTTGAAACATATTCCAATAACAAGTGATAATTATGAAAGAAGTTGGGCTTTGTTAGAAGATAGGTACAACAACAAAAGATTTATTTGTCATCAAATTATAAAGCGGCTGTTAAGTCAACGTAATATTTTAAGCGAATCTGCTAATAGTCTAAAGGATATAATTGATACAACTAATGATTGTTTAGCCTCACTTGCTAATCTTGGTATTAAGGCCAGTACGTGGGTTGTGCTTATAATATATATTATCACATTAAAACTGTATCCTGAGTCAAGAAGACAGTGGGAATTCTATGTAAGCAATAATGTTCCAAGGGATGATCTACCTAACTACGATCAGTTTCAAGAGTTCCTAACCAATAGAGCTATAGAATTCCTGCCTTCCGACTCAAAATCCAACTATAAAGTTTGCCATCCTGTTAAGGTAAATTCTATGCATGCAACTAATATCAGTTGTCCATTCTGTTTGGAGGAGCACAAACTTAGCAATTGTAAAAAGTTTTGCAAAGAGTCGGTTAACGCGCGCCGTAACTTTGTAAAAAATAACCAGGTTTGCTTTTGCTGTCTCGGGAATAATCATTCGGCTAAAATATGTCGCTACCAAATTAAATGTAACGTTTGTAAAAGAAAACATCACAGCCTTTTACATCCAGTAACACAACCAGAACAAAATCAGGATAGTCAAGAAAACACTCAAAATTTAGACACAAAAAATTCTCCTTCGTTTGTTTCATGTATATCTAGAAATAAGATAAGTCAGCATGTACTCTTAGCTACAGCTTTAGTTAAAGTATTATCTAAAACGGGAAACTTACTTACGATAAGAGCACTTCTAGATCAAGGATCTCAATCATCATTTGTTACTGAATCCACAGTACAAATGTTAGGTTTAAAGAAAACTCCCATTAAAGGCACAATTTCAGGAGTAGGTGGAGGTTATAATTTAATCTAAAAGAAAAAGGCCATGGTAAATCTGGAAATAAGATCTCGTATTGATCCAAATGTGGTCATAATTGTGAAGGCATACGTCTTGAAATCTATCACCACTCTTTTACCAGCAACTAATGTAGATTCTTTAGAGTGGGATGAGCTCCCTAAAATGACTTTAGCAGACCCAGAATATTATACGTCAAATCGAGTCTACCTATTATTAGGAGCTGAGGTATATAGCCAGATCATCAAAGATGGAGTGAAAAAAGGTCCATATGGTACACCATTGGCGCAGTCAACGACATTAGGATGGATTTTGTCAGGTACTGTTAACACTTCACGCAATTCTTCTCAAAAAATTCACGTAATGCATTGTCAGGTTCAAGACAACGAAATGTTAAAAAAATTTTGGGAATTAGAAGCTGAAGTTAGTCTTCCTAGGCTTAAGTTACTAACAGAAGAAGAAAAGCAATGTGAAAAATTGTTTGCTGAAACAGTGCAAAGAGACGAAGATGGCAGATATATTGTCCGTCTTCCTTTCAACACGTCAATTCCTGAAGTAGGCGATTCGTTGCGAATATCTGAAAAACGATTGCAATCATTAGAAAGAAAATTTAATTATAATAAAGAACTGAAACTTAGATACATAGATGTCATAAATGATTACCTTTATCTAAATCATATGGAGTTAGTGAAGTCACCAGATATCAGTACAAAGGCCATTTATATTCCCCATCATGCGGTTGTTAGGGAGGACAAAGAAACCACAAAGGTAAGAGTGGTTAATGATGCATCATGTAAAGGTTCAAATAATAAGTCATTGAATGATAACTTGATGGTGGGCCCCACCTTACAATCAGATTTAAGACATATGATAATGAGGTGGCGAGCCTTTCCGATATGTCTATCAGCTGACATTATCAAAATGTATCGCCAGGTTAAGGTTCACCCAGAGGATGTCGATTATCAACGAATACTTTGGAGGGAAGATAGTACAGAACAAATAAAACATTACAGAATGTTAAGAGTAAATTTCGGTACTGCATGTGCTCCTTACCTGGCAGTGAAGGTTTTGCAGCAAGTAGCTCTTGATGATGGGGCTGAATATCCATTGGCAGCTACTCGAGTCCTGCAAGATTTCTACATCGACGATTTATTAACGGGCTGTCACAATGTAGAAGAAGGTGTAACTGTCTATAAAGAACTAAGGGAATTGTTAAGCAAAGGGGGATTTCAGTTACAGAAGTGGTCAAGCAACAATGATGAACTACTAGAAAAAATAGCAGAAGAAGATAGGATTAAAGGAGAGGATGCAGAAAAGGGATTAAAGCTAAAAACAGATCCAGTATTGAAAATACTAGGTCTTACCTGGAATCGGAATATTGGCTCATTTCAGTACACGGTAACGCTTCCGACGTTAAGAGAACCTGTGACAAAGAGGAAAATTATAGCTGATATTGCGAGATTATTTGACCCTCTCGGATGGATCGCACCAACAATTATTCTAGCAAAGATTATTATACAAAGGTTGTGGTTATCAGGAGTTGATTGGGATGAAGAGGTTCCAAACAATATTTTAAATGAGTGGATAACTTACCGGAAAGAGCTAAAACTTTTAGAAAAAGTAACTATTTCGCGTTGGTTGGGATCTAAAGAAGATGCCACGAGAATAGAGCTGCATGGTTTCTGCGATGCTTCCAAGGTAGCCTATGCAGCAGTGGTATATATGAGAGTCATTGATTCTGATAACAACATAAAGGTCAGTCTGTTGACAGCTAAAACTAAGGTTGCACCAATAAAACAAGTGTTAATTCCAAGGTTAGAGTTATGTGGAGGCGTACTTTTATCAAAATTATTGGTAGAAGTGGGTGACGTGATGAGAATCACAAAGGAAAACTGGTATGCGTGGACAGATTCCTCAGTTGTCCTTGCTTGGATCAATAGTCACCCAAACAAGTGGAAGACCTTTGTGGCAAATAGAGTGTCAACAATTCTTGAATGTCTCGAACCTTACCAATGGTCTCACATACAGTCTAAGCAAAATCCAGCAGATTGTGCTTCTCGAGGCCTTCGGCCGCCCGAATTACTACAATCGTTCTTATGGCAAAATGGTCCTGAATTATTAAAGGAAAAAATAATAACACAAAATAAATTGAAACATTTTGAAACAAATTTAGAAGAAATCAAAGTTTTAATGGTTACAGTCGAAGATGAATTTTGGAGTCGATATTCTTCACTCAATAAGTTGCTTCGGGTGATTGCTTATTGTAGGCGATTTTTGGACCTGCTGAAACCGAAGGAAGAAAGGCACATTAATCGAATTTTAACAAAAGATGAAATTAATCAAGCTAGAGAAACTTGTATAAAGGAAAGTCAAAGGGCAAGCTTTACAGAAGAAATCAAAGCGTTGAAAAGAAAAGAAAGAATAAAAAGGAGTAGTAAAATACTTACCTTAAATCCATTCTTGGACGCCAAGGGCATTTTAAGAGTGGGCGGGAGGCTTAACAACTCCAACTTCACTGAAGACAAGAAACATCCAATACTGATTCCAAAACTGATTCCAAAACTTGGGTTTTTGGCAAGACTATTAATAGACGAGGCTCATAAAAACACTTTACACGGTGGAGCACACTTAATGTTAAGTTACTTACATTCTAAATTTTGGATAATAGGTGTCAAACCCTTGATTAAGGCACATATTCGCAAATGTACAATTTGCGTAAAAAGCGCTGCATCCGCACAAAATCCACTGATGGCACAGCTTCCTTCTTTTAGAGTCACACCAGAAAGACCATTTCAGAAATCCGGAGTTGATTACGCGGGACCTATCAACATCCGAACCACCAAAGGTCGAGGTTTCCAATCCTAAAAAGGATACATTTGTTTATTCGTCTGCATGGCGACCAAAGCTGTTCACATCGAGGCCGTAAGTGATTTAACCTCAAAAGGATTTCTGGCCGCTTTTCGTCGTTTCATTGCTAGGCGAGGTCATTGTACAGATTTGTGGAGCGACAATGGTACAAATTTTGTGGGAGCTTCACGTGAACTGCAATCTTTGCTTAAATCGGAACAATCATATTTAAGTAAGGAGGTAACAGAGAGTTTAGCCTCTACCGGTACCGCTTGGCATTTTATCCCTCCTCGTGCTCCACACTTTGGGGGCTTGTGGGAGGCTGCAATTAAGTCAATGAAATTTCATTTAAAAAGAATAATTGGGGATCATACGTTAACATATGAGGAGCTAGCTACGGTGCTTACACAAGTAGAGGCATGCCTGAATTCTAGGCCACTGTCGAGGATAGGGAATTTATCTGATGATTTTCTGACCCCTGGGCACTTTCTAGTAGGAGAACCGTTGGTCACTGTTCCTGATTACAATTATGAGGCTTCGAGCATTTCTTCATTAAGGAGGTGGCAGTTAACACAACGTATGTTACAAGGTTTTTGGCGTCGATGGTCGAATGATTATATTAATCAATTACAACAGCGATACCGATGGAAGGACCAAACGCCAGAGCCCAAAGAAGGCGATGTGGTACTCGTTAAAGAAGATGACTTACCGCCTTGTAAATGGCTTCTCGGTGTCATTGTAGTGAAACATCTAGGCAAGGATAATATCACCAGAGTCGTCACCTTACGTACGAAAAATTCTTTGCTCAAGCGACCAATTGCTAAGTTATGTGTTCTCCCCACAACTAAATAAATTGTAAAAAAAATATATTGTTATGTGTAAATGTTCTACTTAGAAATCTATTTAATGTTCTTTAATTTTGTGTTCTCAGTTTTAAAGTTTTTGTAATTTTATATGTCAAAAAAAATGTATGCATGGTGGGCGGTATGTTTAATATTAAATAATAGATGGCGCCACTATTGTTTTAAGGCACACTATGGTTGCGTTATTGTAAATCTAGTAAGTTAATGAGAAATAATTGTTATAGGTGGTATTCGTACACACTGTATACTTTTTAAGTAAGGTTTATTTATTAAACAGTGTAGTGATAAAGTTGGTGTCTTTCTTTCTCGTAATTCGAGGGATCCATAGTGCTCCTAGTGTTGTATATTATATTATTGCATTGCATATAATTATTTATTCTGATGGGAATTTTGTATAAGAAATATTTGTTTTAACGACAGGGATCATTTTTTATATAAATTTAAAGACGTCTGGCTTACTTTTTCAATTTTTTGACACTGTGTCAATAATTTAATATCCTATTATGGACACCATGTCAATGACAGGAAATAAATATGTCAATAATAAGTTTGTTACTACAATTTAAAACGATTAATTTCAATCAATTATTTTGTCAATAACTTAAAAGATATTTAAGTGTAGGTATTAGCTCAAAAATATAAATAAAATAATTTTCATTCTGTTATTTACAGTATGGCCAAAGATAAAGCAAATCCTGGTTTAAAGAAAGGCAAAGATTCTCTAAATGAGATTAATAAAAAGAAAAAATCTCCAAAAAAACGAAAGCAATACTCTTTAGAAAATATTTAATTAGCGTTAGAAGCAATAAATAAAGGGATGTCCAAGAAATTGGCTTCAAAAACGTATGGTGTCCCTAGGACTACACTAATTTTTCACACAGACCATCCAGACAAAAATGTGAGACCAGGTCCTCCTACCGTTCTGACAGCAAAAGAGGAAGAAGATCTAGTAAATTGGATCAAACTTAATAGCAGAAAAGGCTTTCCAAGACGAAAATAAGACCTGATTACAAGTGTAGCTGAATTCTTAAAAAAGGCCAATAGACCGAATCCATTTAAGGATGGTGTTCCAGGGGAAAGATGGTATCATCTCTTTATGAAAAGACATAAGGATTTGGCTATTAGAACCCCAGAAAGTGTCACTGATGCAAGTTCTTGCGTATCTGAAGAAGATATAAGACGTTGGTTTCGTGATATATATTCTTATTTAGAAATAAATAATTATACTCACATTCTCCAAGACCCTTCGCGCATTTTAAATGGTGACGAGACAAACTTCCAACTGTGTCCAAAGAGTGGGAGAGTTCTTTCCATAAAAGGTGACAAAATTGTCTACGAAATTGATCGAGGTCAAGCCAAGGCATGCTTGACTGTTTTATTTACCTTTAAAGCAGATGGAGAACGAACTCCGCCATTAATAATTTACCCAAATAAAAGACTACCCAAAGAAATTGCTACAAGAGTACCTAAAGATTGGGGTATTGGCCTCAGCGATAACGGTTGGATGAAAACAGACATATTTGTTCATTATGTTAGGAATGTTTTACATCCATATCTCACGCGAACAGCAACAAAATTTCCTGTCATCCTGTTTGTTGACGGACATTAAACACACGTAACACTAAGTGTCAGTGAACTTTGTTCAGAATTACAAATCGTTCTTATCGCTCTTTACCCAAACGCCACAAGAATTTTACAGCCCGCGGATAAGTCCGCATTTAAACCACTAAAAAATAGTTGGAAAAAAAGTGTGATGGAGTGGAGAAGAAAAAATCTATCTCAAGCTTTAACAAAATTAGAATTTGCACCGATTTTAGAAAATGCCGTAAATATTTCTATTCGTCCGGAAATACTGTAAAATGGTTTTAGCGCTGCTGGGCTTTTCCCGTGGAATCCTGACAATATAAACTTCGATAAATGTCTTGGTAAACGAATAAAAAGCAAGATAAGCAATAATAAAGATGTAGTGTTACAAAAAAGTAAATTCCTCAATATGATTAAAGAATGTAAATATGAAAAAGACAGAATTTTGAAAGAAGTTTTTGATTTTTTTGAAGTTTCACCATCCCTTCTTAAGTCCATTTCATCTGAGACTTCCAATAACAGAGCTACTGCATGCATATCAAAAGATGTTATATCCATTGAACCTGGAGACGACTTTAATAAGACTATATCAGCTAAACTAAAGATATTTATTGCGCCTGAAGAACCAAAATCGAATTTCGATATCGCTAATCTTCCTGTAATTTTATGTGATTCTGTGGAAGATTGGAATGATTCACAAGAAGGGCTATCTTGCTTTAAAGTTCCACATGAAGTAAAGTGTCATACTTCACCAGTTATTTCAAATACATTATTACAATTTACACCTAATAGAACTAACATCTCACATATTAACAAAGAAGATTTAGAAAATATCGATATTTTTACCGACTGTTCAGTACAAAATATTATTACACTTGCAAATTCTCCACCAAGGATCATGCCAACTAAAAGTGAGAAAACAATAAGATCCATGAAAAAAATTAATCTAAAAGATACTTTAGTTTTAGCAAAAACTCCGGTCAGGAAAGGAGTGAGAAACACAGAAAGAGTTTCGTTTGTATTGACATCTGACGAATGGTAAAAAAAAGAGAAGTCAAGGCTGACGAGAAACAAAAAAAGGTAGAAGAAGTGAAGAAAAGAAAAGAAGCGAGAATATTGAAAAAAGAACAGACTAAGAAAACAAAAAACTTTTTAACTAAAAAAAAGACAGAGACCAAAAAGAAAGGAGAAACCAAAGTAATTGTGATGTCTGACGACATTATTACGCAAATTAAAACTACAGATAGATTGGAAACTTTTAATAACAGTGAAGCAAATAGTGAAGAACCAAAGGCAATAATGATGGATACCAATTTTGAGCAACATATATTTTCTACAGAATATAAGGCCGAAGAAATTGCAAAAGTAAAAATAAAACTTAATTTTGATGATAAAAAAAGAACGAGTGCCTCTTATAAACTCTTAAAAACACCTATGAAGACTGTGTGTTCTAATGTAAGACTGAATGTAGCATCTAAGGAAATTGGTGATAAGATTCGTGACCAAGATAATTTATGTTTAACAGAACGATTTGCAAAATAATTTAATGTTAAACCAAAATTAGATAAGAAAACGCTGCAAGATGAAGATATCGAAAATTTACTTGAAGAAAATTCTCAGTAGGTACTAACTTGTTATAGTTTTTAAGAAAAGTTATGATCTGAGTTTAATAAATAAATAATTAACCATCGTAATACATACATCTTTACCGTATAACATTATTGTTAAAACTACTTTAAATTAAACTTATAACTAATGTTGATTCGTTGATATTTTTATAGTGACTAAGAAGAGAAATATTTACCTTTATTTTATACAGCTGTTTTTTTGTGATTTCCAAACAGCTAATTATTGTAATGTTGAATAATTGATACTTTTATAGTGATTAACAGGAGAAAAATGTTATTTTTGATGAAACTGTTTATTTTTAAGATTTCTATTACAAATTTCTAAACTACAGATCTATTTTATTTACTATTTTCCCAATAAATTTGTTAAAATTAATGATTAACAGACATGAGAACCAAGGTGTCAATATTTAGATAGTACAGTGTCATTAATAGGAAATTGTATGTCAATAATAGGGAGTTAGAGGTAACTTCAGAAAAATGGACATTTTTCATAAATAGTAATTATATTGTGCACAATATCGCCAATTTTTAAGAGAATGATAATGACGGACTATTAATAACTACATATAAATTACAACAATTGTTTATTAAACTATTTTTTTCTAAACGTTTTGTGACGGACGTCTTAAAGTGTCCATAATTGGGTAGTTTACCCTATATCTACAAGTTGGTTCTTGGAATTAATAAGCAGCTGCAATACTACGAATAAAGTAAATCAAAACTGTTTGCCCACATTTAATATATCTCCAGCATTATTCACAACAACACACAAAATTTGGCAATTATGGATGGAACCGGGGGTGTTGAATAGAGTAATAAACTAAACCAGGCGCCAGGCCATCGTTATAATATGAAACATGTTACGGTGCTTAAATACGTATTTGCGGATTATGTTCCTATATTCGGTGAACCATATGTTGGGAAAGGCTTAGAAAAATAT